CTCTATAATAATAGATAAAACGTAAATCAAAAAGGTACGTTTAAAAGTTGCACGAAAAAAAAATTAACCTTTATTTGCCGGAAGAAGAAMCTCTCGAAYAATCCACTTCCGCTTCGTGGTAGTCACGTGAACAAGCGCGTGACGTGTCGTTAGCGCGGCCGCTCAGCAGACAACACGGGTGGACATTCGTGTCGTTCCTTCGTGTCGYTCTGTTTGCAATCGAAAATCTCGACAAATACATTATTTTGTTTCACAGTTTTTCTGTAAAACTCAAGACGCAAGATTCTTCGACAGCCACGAAGCTTCATATGGAGAGGAAGTCATTCATGGACCACTCTGAAGCCCCGACCCCCGAACGCTTCGCCGCCATCTTGGAGAATCAGCGTGCTATTATGGTGAATCAATCAACGATTCTTCACAATCAGAATAAGATCTTACGAGGCTTGGAGCAACTCTTCACACTCATTCCTAGTGCTCAAAATACCCTCAATAGCCAGCCGACTCCAACTGCACAAAACCTGCCTGTTACACCGGTTGTTAGCGTTCACGGCGTTCTCCCGACGGTAGTCGAGCCAACGCGAGTGGAACCAGCGCTCACTCAGATCACAGTAGTCCCAGCGATGCCGTTACAACTCTCAAATACCCGTGCTGAACAGCCTCAACAGACTATTACAACGTCRGTTTCTACACAACCCAATACATCGATTCAACCTATTCCAGAAACGAGCTACACGAATTCGATGGTWACAGTACATCCTGCGCCCGTTCCAGCAGTGACGCTCACATCTCCAGGTTCACCGTATAGCTCAGACGACGAACGGGCTCCGCAGTTCACAACGCGGTCAGAAATCATGCAAATCAAATGTAAAAGTTGCTCGATTGGAAATTTTTCCGTGCAGTTATTAAGGCACATATTTCAGGCGGAGGAACTCGCGAATCGCAACTGTTCTGGAACTMGAGGSAAGGAACAAGTTGATCCAGTTCGATTAAAATTCATTAAAGAGACAGTTTTTGAATTGTACAATGTTTCAGCGGAAGAAAGACTAAATACCTGGAGGCACTGTGTTCGCGCTATGGACGAGTTTCTTCGACGGCCAAAAAATAACAGAAAATTTAAAAAYGACTCTGGTCCTCCGACGCTTGTGGAACTTCATCAGAAGATGAACGTTTCGTTTTGAAAKTACCTTCAAAAAGGCATAATGACCTTCGCAACCCTAACTTCTAAAGTRAATTTTATTCATCATATATCAAAAGAGAGGCCACTGGAAACTTCACAAGCACACAAGTTTTAACTTTCAAAAGACAGAGTATCAAACCAATATAAAAATAAGGTAAAAAACAAAGAGTAGACAAAGAGTAAAATATGAGAAATTTGACATATTATGTTCTGCTGGTAATAGAAATTAATTTTGCTGGGGAAAAATTTGCTTAAAGCACCATGTATTAGCTTATAACGCTTTTACTGTTAAAATATAATATAGAATGATAAAGTTATACTAGTTCTTGGGTTATTTCTCGCATGTATGTAAATATGTGTAATTGATTCTTATTGATATTGTCTAATTTATTTGTGTTTTAGTTCTTAAAGTGTTAACAAAATTAAACAGAATATTGACAATGATTAAACTTAATCTTTCACGACATTATTAAAGTCGTAAAAACGCCGGCATTTTATGGGAAACTATCTATAGGGAAGTAAAGCAATATCCTAGACACATCTGTAAAAAAGRTACATTGAAATTACAAAATACTACTAATTTATGCTAATTTCTTTGTTTCCTATTGTCTGAAGCAACAGTCTGAATCCCAAGGGGATTATTCACCCCACAGTTGGGGGAGGTTTATAAATGCTGCTGTAACATCAAGCCATAAAAAGGTTTGAGAAGTGAAATGATAATTGTAGCAGCTTGCCGTGCCAACGAGAGCAAGGAAAAAAGTTACTTTGACGTTGTTTTCCCCCACTTATTTTTTTCATCAAATGTTTGTGTGTGATGTCATTGATGTTTTCAAACTTCCATTCATGTAAACAAATTCAAACACTCCCTCAAGTGTTTTGGACATTTACTTGCACAATAGCATACAATGTATTGTATTCTTGTATTGTGTACAAATGAATGTCAAAACACTGTAATGAATAGGTAGAGTACAAACACTAAAACTGCGCAACATGAATACCACTAAATACTGCTAAAGTATGCAAATTCAATTGTTTTCTATTGTTAATTAACACTATTTTGTAGTAAATAGTGGAAAGTGTTGCACACATTTAATGTATGTACTTAACTTTTGTTTATTGTCTGCACAAAATTAATGAATATGTAAACATCTTCAAAATTTCAGATCCAGACCCAGCAACTTCCAATTCTAATTTTATTTTTTGATGTTTTCATAATGTATTTTCAGATAATAAATCCCTACCCCCCCCCCCCCCCCCCCCCCCTGTTACAGCACCACTACATTGAATACCTGTTTACCATGGCCATTAAAAATATCCTATCCTATTAAAGTACACATGACACCTTTTAGAAAAACACTTTTATCCGAAAGGTAACATGCTGCCGAGTACTTCTGTGAAGAAAGAAATAGATTTTGAATTGTATTTTCTGAGTTATGGACATTTGAAAATTGAAAATGCAAATGAAGTGACGTCAACTAAGGAATTGATCCAGACATTTTACATTGTTTGCTCTAAATGCTGTTCTTGGTTGAAGAGCACAAATCATCAATCATAGTAATAATTGAGAGCTGAAAATGCTTTTTCCAATGTAATAAAAAGAATATCATTCTCTTTCATGATTTTGTATACTAAATCATTCCTTAGTAGACGTCACTTCATTTGCATTTTCTAAGTTTTAATTGTCCATAATGTAGAAAATACAATTTTATGCCCCAAGTAAGAACTAGGGAAGCAAACGGCATAGGAATGCAAGAAGGTGCTAATTGTGCATTGTGTAATCCATCCATCCCATTGGTTAAAGCATGAAAATCTGCTATAATTTCACAAGTTAGGGAATTTTCTAATATTTTATTTAATATCTGTTTTCGCTTTCATGAAAGCTTTCTTTAACTTCAATGTTAAGGCAATTCTATGTGGGGAACATTGCAAATTAGAAGTATCTTTTGGCTATTGTTTTGAGTGCTTATGATTGCATAAGAGCTTTTAATACAAAAGAAACTTTGTTTCAAAATAGAGTTTATCCACATTTTATTTCAAAAATGTGTTACCCACAGGTTAATACATAATCAGTGTGAAAACCAAGACATTCCTACATGGGGAACTTGCTATGCCGCAGAACAATAGAGAGTTCCCTAGTTCTTTAGCGCATTGTTACTTAAAATCAATTTCTTTCTTCACAGATGAAATTAGCAGCATTTTCTCTTTTGGATGAGAATGAATTTCTAATGKTGTCATGTGCACTTTAATGACCAAGTTCATACATACCCATATGTGAAATCTCTTGACGTACTCTCAGGTGGACATACATGTACATCACAGATTGGTGCAAAATCCTTGAACAGTTCTATCAATTCTATCTATAAATTACATTATCAAATTCATTAATAATTCATAAAGTAAACACAATGAAAAATCATTGCCGTGACCGCATCTTTATAAGGAGCAAGATTGTCATTGTCCTGATTTGCATTCGACTTTAACTTCGATTTTCTCTTACAAATGATATTTTATCCTGAAGTGTTTTTCGAAATATGCTTCACCTTATGTTGGAATTTGATAAGCAATATAAAATATTCGCGTCCGACCTTTATGGACTATAAAACTGCTCGCTTGCAGCTCGCAGTTTTAAATGCCAATAAAGGTCTCCAGCTCATATTTTATATATTACTTAGCACACATCATAAGCTGACATTCAACAATGAATTCAACTTGGTGGTCTTAATAAGGTGTTTGCATGTTGTTGAACAGGGTGAAAACTATCCACCAGATAAATGGTTATCTGGCCAGTTACTTGTAATCGTGATGTGAAATGTTTATTTAACTCTCAATTGAGTGTTAGCTTCGATAATATTACCTTTTTGTGACCCATTTTGTTATGTTTTTTTTGTTATATTTTTAATGAGGTGTATACACTTCYCATTTCTACTGTACTTACTAAAGCAATGTCTCTAGGTAGACGACCAACAAAAATGGAAAACAATGACTTTCTCCACTTATGCATTTCTCTTGGRCTAAGGTATTTTTCTTTTTCAAATGCCTCAATGCCATAATCTACAGTTGAACAAAAAACTGTTATTGTATAATTAGTACAGGATTTTATAGCAGAGTGCAAAATTATAAAAAATGGCAAAGGTACAATGTAATTGCACACCTCAAGTGTAAATTAGTTGGAAGATCCCACAGCGGGAACTGTTAAAGTATATAGAGTGTATTGTATTATACTTTGTGATTTTACCAATAACTTGAGCTACAATCCCAGACAAAACTCGTTGAGACACTTGCATTCTTTCACTCCAAAATATCCCCATTTCTCCTATCTCTAAAAAATCACTGATTTTGATCCTCCCCTCCCCCAATCAAACAATGTTGTGTGTGCGACATGCTGCTAGAAGGGTGTGCATGATTGTTCAGTCCTTTCAACATTGATTTGAGGGGGAAAGGAGGAGATTTGCTCAGAAATACGCAGATACTATCATGGAAATCCAACCTATTTTAAGAAATGTCTCAACTGTTTTGTCCAGGATTGTAGCTATAAACATAGGCCCCATACAGTACTGCATGAAAACTTTTCTAAAACGCAGGCCTGTATAGGTCTGATTTCTGTCATACATATGATGCTTTGCCTAAGAAATTTTAGAAAGCCTACAAAAAAAATATTTTTAATGGGGGACTATCACGAAAATAAATGAAAATTTAGAAAGACTTGAAACATGGTTGAAGTTTCATATTTCAATCACAAAGCAATGCACATTATTTAGATTTACAAGGAAGACCAAACATTATGAAATAAGACACCACTCAATCAACTCTATTTAACTAATTGTTCTCATTATTTTAAAATGCAAATTTCAGTCTGACAAAAATATCAAAATGTTGATTCACATTCACTTCACCAGTTCTGACCCACTTTCAAAATGACCCCCTTATAAAAAACATCCTGAACCAATAATATGGATGGTGGGAACTAGCGGTAAACTAGTGTGAGCTGCGTCGGTGTTTCTAAAGAAACAGTTATGTAAAAAGATAAATTTAACACCGTAAAAAAGTATGTGAAATAACTTACTGACGTTTCGGAAGTTAATCCTTCGTCGGAGTAAATAATAGAACGATTTCACATAACGATACAAAAAATGCAAATAAGTTAATTTATTTTATGCAAATTTATTGACTGTAATATGAATTCATGTAATCATGTAATACAGACTCTATTCTCTCACTTATTGCAGATTTTTTGCTACTTTATATAATTACATCACAACAAAACACAAACATTTCATTTTCCAAGCAGACTTGACATGCTTCAGTCTTTGTGCCAAGCTTTGCTATAATTTCATAGCACATGCAGAACTGTACCATGCAGCATCTAGTACAAGCTTAGCCTAAAATATTTTCAAAAGGCTTGACACGTCTTTCGGACAAATATACCACAAGATCAATTGCAGGAGGGAGTAACCACCTTGGATATCTCTTGGGTGTCAACTAATTTTTGAGAAAGCTGAGCAAAGGCTGGCCAACAAAAACTCAAGTCCGTAATTTTATTTGGGCTCAAAAAAGACTGTTTTGTTTTGCTCATGATGAATGACAATAAAATCCAATTATAAGATAGGAAACAATGCTGTAATAAGTGAGAAAATNAATAGTCAACTTTAGATATTTTGGTTCGATGACTATGTACAAAAGAACGCACACGAGGCTCCGGGGAAACAATGGATAATCTTGATTTATTCTTTTATTTCCCCGGAGCCTCGTCTGCAATTCTTTTGTGCATGGTCACTGAACCAAAATATCTAAAGTCGACTATTAAAACTCTTTAACTACATTATCAAATTGTCGCATCACTGTTAAGGAGACTATCCCTCAGTTTCAGCTTGAATAAGTATAAAGAGTTCCAGATCTTGACAGACCTGAACGCAAAAGAGCGCTGCCCTGTGACAGTCCTAAAAAGTGGGATGGCAAGATGATTTCTGCTGCGTATTCGTCTTGAATGACCCCCTTATAAAAATATCCTGTTATTTCGGATACATTATACATGATMGTACCTTGATCTGGGCTACTGGGATGGCTTCTTCGGATATTACGCGGTGCACTCAATGGTGTTTTCTGTTGGGGCAGCTGAAAGTTGAAATATTATTTTATTAAGTGCACATGTGCATCCATATACATGTAGTTCCAGGGTGTTATACCTAATTGAAAAAACGTAGTGAAATGGTCACATCATAGAAGCTAAGACCGAAAGGGATTTTGCGTACCACTAAATTGGGATTACACTTTACAAAGCACTCTTTTCATCCCACATTGAATACACATAAAGTATAATAGAACTGCTCTGGCTGTCCACTGAAATCGGTTGACATCCTGCATTGGTCAATGATCAGGTTTCAAACCTGAAACCTTTGCTAGGGTCATGGACCTTTATATCTGATAAAGGTCACCCTTATTAGTATTCTTTATATAAAGAATACTAATAAGGAGTGTTTTATCAGATATAAAGGTCCATGCATGTGACCAAATAGGCTCATTCTATTGGCCTAATACAAGTAACTCATTAATTATGTATGAGTTTTTGAAGTACTTAATTATATGATGCCCAAAGCTTTGACACAACAATACAAGAAACCATAAGTTGGAAAGCAATCTTCCATACCTGAGCAGTCCCATGACAAATGAGGTTTAGAAAAGTCTGTTGCAATTCTTGRTTGTGAGCTAAAGGTGACCCTGCAATGTTCATCTTATCAGATGTTCAAAGTAGTGATTCTATAAAAAGTACAWGTCAGTGAAATCGTAGGTGAAAAGAATCTTTATGTTGATGTACATTTGAGACTATTGTTAGCAAAAAAAGTAACTGGCCGGGAAATGACGTTAAGGTGGTTCCAGTGATAATTGGTGCATTGCATTAAAATGACAATTAGTGAAGTCTCAAAGCTTTTAGAAAATCATGAAAATGTAGAAAGGATTGTTGGAGAAATGCAGAAGACCGTTCTGATGGACAGTGAGAATACAATACGTAGAGTGTTGTCGGGCCTTGTTCAAAGTCTAGACGATTAACTTTGTGTGAATAAGTGTTGTGCAAATCTTGGTAATTGCGTTTCATGGCTACGGAATTAGCTTTATTCTTACAATAATAATAATAAAATTAGATTTAGATAGATATAGATTTGATTTTTCAAGCATTGCCAAGATATGTCTGAAATTTGCACGAAGTGGCTCTTAAAAACATACAGGGGCAGGTTGCATGAATAGTTATACATCCATAGATTTTCTTTATAAAGCGCTAATCCAGCTTTCAAAACACTGGAACCAGTAATATAATTAAATAATGTATATATGTTGTGGTTTGAAATGTGCCTTGGTTTGAAATTTTTTAAACTGGTTTGAATTTTTCAAACTGGTTTGAAATTCCAGTTTAAAGTTTTAGGTTTAGGGTTAACATTGGGGAACATTCCCCACCTCCCCCCTCCCCCCCCAAAAAAAACAAAAAACAAAAAAACAAACAAAATCCCTTTTAAGAAAAAAAATGAACCGGTTTGAAAAATTCAAACCAGTTCAAAAAGATTTCAAACCAAAGCAAATTTCAAACCACAACATATATACTATTAAAAGTTAAATTTAGCAATATCGATCATTTTATTCATCTTCGAAATGACAACTGCTGTCAAAATGAACCCTCCCCTCCCCTCCCACTTAAGAAATTTTGGGAATGTYAGAACCCAAGACACCCAAGGGCCCAGTGCTGCTGAACTAGGAATTCAGAAATTTCAAGAACCAATTCACAACGAGCATTTATGAAGGAAAGTACATGTAAATACACTTTGGAKATAAATAGACCATTGTGCATTGAACTGGKTRGTCGCATTCCACGCGTATTTGGGCATATTTGACGATAGCGTGCAACCTCGCCAAACTCAATGCTACGAGAACTCCCTAAACTACTTACCGACTGCAAAAATGCTTCAACTTATGGTTCAAGAACACGTCGAAGTGATGTATACTCAATATTCTATACCAACAAGCCCAAAATGAGATTTTTCAGGTGATATTTTTAGCTAAAGCAAGCTATCACACGTGGCTTCTGTATACTAACTTGACAYATGACAACTTCGCCGCCACAGGAAACCCGTCAATTGCAAAGGAGTCCCGCTATGTAATGTAAGTCAAGTCAAGTCCCGTTTCAGACGTCCATCTTTTGACGAGTCTAATCTAATTGATGGATTTTAGTTTATGTGAATTTTGTACTCTGAATTTATTGACATTAGTAGATTTTGTTCAGTTGGACAAATTTGCTATAAAGGCCCGTTTACACTTGCGATTTTTGCAGCGCGATTGTCGCGCGACAATCGCCAATTTGTTCTCTCGCAGCTCAAATCGTACGTGTAAACAGCCCTGCGATTGTCACGGCGATCGAAAATTGCCGCAAGTTGCAGCTAAATTTCAAGCATGTTTGAAACGCAGGCGATTGTCGCGCGACAATCGCGCTTCAAAAATCGCAGGTGTAAACGGGCCTTAACGATGTAGACTGCAAACTTGTCAAGCAATAAGATTAGACGCGGCAAAAGATCAACGTCTGAAACGGGCCTGAAACTGCAAATATCTATTCATGGGAGCTATTTTTTTATTATTTCCTAACGTGGAATAGAGAAAAATGAATCGAAAACCAAGAATTGATGGTTTATTTTCAGTACACTGAGTTTAGCATTAACCTTGCTGACCGCAATCAGTCGCCTGAGCCGTCCCACCGTCTGACACCATAGAGGTCTAGTTTTAGCGCGCACAGAAATTCAAAGCAGCTAGAGTGCTTTAAAAAGTAAAGCTGTTGCATTATTTCGGACTTAATGTGTCGAAAAAGACGTCTTTTTAAGTGTAACTTCACTAGTGTCAAGCAAAGTGAGTGCACTCCACTGTAGTGTTTACGCGGTGTTAGTTTATTATGGAAAATAGTTAAAATGCTATTATAATATCATTGTCTGYTCGATAAATGGCCGCTTTCAAGACACAAAAGCACGGATATAAAGCTTATTTATCGTACAAATATAAAATTTTCGTTCAATTCCGTAAAACCTCAATTACTTCGACATTAAATCGATGGTTTTAAACAGCAAGATTAAAACCACAACACCTTTGCAAATCCTCTTCAGCGGAGTACTTACAGCTTGAGAGAYATTTGTGTTGGAATTGCCATTCCACTCAAAAACACACTAGAACAAATGATTCATTGCCAACCCGAAAGCTTATGTTTAAAACATGACAACTTATATTTTATAAATTTTACATTTTCTAATTCAATTGGCTGCCCAACTTACAAAGGACCGTCATTATAGGCGAAGAGAGAATGGTTTGAACGCAGGTGCAGGATCCGATGAAGTTGTCAATATAGCATGAATATTAATGAGTGGCGGTTTTCTTGCTAGGGCTTGGTTGTATATAGAACTAAAACTCAAGCATCAGAACTTCCTGCATATAAGGATATTCYCTTTCAGGAAGAATTTAGCGCCGAATTCAAAAACCTGTTTACCTAAATTTATAAGCTTCGGGCTCAACTAGGGAGTTCCTCATTAGCACGTGCGACAGCAACATGGATTTATGGCAGAAGCTTAAGACCAACACAGGGCAGATAGCAACAAACATAAGGCAAGCACAAGAACGATACCGTGAAGAACACAGCCCAAAACAGTCAAGCACACATAGCTCAAAGGAAGACGTGTCAAATAAGGGTCCTCCCAAGAAACCCTGTAAAACACTTCTAGTGATAGACTCACTTGAAAATGACTGGTGAGTTTGGTTGAACTTCGTATGTATTTTTCAGTTTAGTAATTTCCCCCTACAAATGTTTGAAATGGGAGTTCAGTTGTCTTTAGGTAAATAAGAACATTTTAGTGAGTGATTGAACTGATCAAGTTGTCTGATAGCGCCTGCGTTCAAAGATCAAAGTAATGTGGTTGCAATATATGCCAAATAAGCATAACACGCGCGCTTATATTATTACACTTGCACTTGCTTTTCAAGCTAGATTCTGAGCTAATTCTTCAATATTATTTCTGTTACTAATAMATGTGTATAGCGCATTTCGTTTACTAGTCTTGACGTCTTGTCTCCTTCCATTTCAATCATTTTATCTAAAACATGTCACTTTATAACATAAGCGTGAAGCAATTCACTATCAAAGTCTTTGAAAAATATCAGGATCGATTTAACGGTGTTGGTTTCTCGTTTAGAGTTGGTATTAACGACGAAAGATTTGCTCGGATTTTCACCGAGCATTTTAACCCAGAACTAAACTCATTAACTAATTCCCTGCGCTTTTGACAGACTGTTTATGAACACTGGTTTTATTTTTCTATGCCTGACTATTGTTTTATTATCATTTTAGGACTAAAATATTTGGAGAACGAAAAATGCATAATGGCTCCTACGATCTTAGGGTGGAACAGGTAATAAAAGAAATAAAAAAGGGCCGCCAAAGTTTTCCTTTATTTTTCTTTTGAAATAATGAGAAAAATTAATTGTTCTTTGGTCGRCTCGTCACGGAAGCAGTGTAAATTCTTAACAAAAACAATCTGTTGGATAATTAGCATGAATTTTCTAAGTTACTTTTCGTAGTCAAATTATCTTTATCAATATTTAAACGAAACGCGACTGGGTGTAGTTTTTGAAGGATATATATCAGCGCACGAATCATGAGGCCGATAGTAGAGAAATATCAATCTTTTTTTTYWYATMTYYYCC